TTTGTCCATTTTAGCAAGTTAAGTTGTCTTCACCAGCTCAATTGTCTTCAGCAAAAGCTTGCATAACATATTCCTCACCTTTTGGTTGACCTAAAACATTATCATTGTAATGTGTTATTTGAATTTTGGTATATTTTGCTGCATGGCCAACGCAGCTGGATATCTAATCCTATGTTGTAAATGTACACACACAAACACCCCTTTCCACTCAAGTTGTATTTATTTTTCCCCAATGTAACCACGTACGCAGGTATACAACCACAAGGAGAAAAATTCACATAAATTGTATGGTCCGTAGAAACCACAAATCATGTGTTTTCAGATCCTAGTATTCATACTAGCCAAACAACAAAAATTGTGCTTGCAATCTTAAGTTGTGACACGGTACAATTTGAGGTGAGTAGGTCTCCGTTCTTTTTTTAGCGTCAAAGCTGAAAACAAGATCTACTGAGGCTCTAACAAGCTTCCATTTTCTTTTAATCTACGCCATTTTGAGTTGGAGAATGTAATCTAGGGAAGGCATCATAGATCCGTAACACTCGTCTCCTTCAATATAAAAGTTTTAAAACCATCCTTAAGTTCTCTATTTGCACATTCTCGGTATTTAGAACTGGCACTTTCTAAATGTTTTTGGATTTACACCATTTTTAGACTGCTTTTAGGAATATTTTAAAAGTGCATTTTAATATGGTTTCTAAATTGTTTTTATCCTTGCATTGTTTTAATCGTTTTGTATTTGTTCATTGCCTCGGGAGCCATTGTGGCTGGAAGGCCATACAGAAATACTTTAAATAAATAATAATAAAGTAAATTATGGATTTATGGACCCTCGATGGTGCACAACAAGTACTCCATTAAAGGATTTAATTACAACCAGAGCATAATTATAGTTTGTTGTTTAAAAATGGTTTTAACAGCATACAGTTTATCCATGCCTAATATCCACAAGTACCTCCTTGTAACACTTCTTTCAGTCTGACCAAGCCACTATCATTGCCCAACATTATTTTGTTCTACCAATGAATTTCATTTCTTATGAGTGTTGCAAAGTTTACATATTTAATCAATAATTTAATCAACCACAATTTTATTTGATGAAAAGCAAAGAATAGGAAGGACTGGTAAATGACAATTCCCAGTGTCTCCCCCCCCATAGCATTCGAGAAAGAAAATTCATACCGAAAGCCCAGCAACAGTAATTTGTTTTTATTGCATGCCTTCAAATTATTTCCAACTTATGCTGACCCTAATGCAAACCTATCATGGACTTTTCTTGGCAGGTTTTGTTTGGGAGCGGTTGCCTTTGCCTTCCTCTGAGGCTGAGAGAGTGTGGCTCACTCAAGTTTACCCAGTGGGTTTGCATAGCTGAGCGGCGATTCGAACACTGGTTTTCAGAGTTGTAGTCCAACGCTCAAACCACTACACTACACTGGCTCTTCCAGAAGAGTAGTAGCTTTCTCTTACTGAATTATGTGTTATCTCGTATTAGCGCCAATGACTATCAACAAGAGATA